CAGTAGTTTCTGTTGACTATATTTAGCAGTCTGGGACCATCAGACCTGATATTAATGGACACGATAGGACATAATTCAGTAGTTTCTGTTGACTATATTTAGCAGTCTGGGACCATCAGACCTGATATTAATGGACACGATAGGACATAATTCAGTAGTTTCTGTTGACTATATTTAGCAGTCTGGGACCATCAGACCTGATATTAATGGACACGATAGGACATAATTAAGTAGTTTCTTAGTTCAGTAGTTTCTGTTGACTATATTTAGCAGTCTGGGACCATCAGACCTGATATTAATGGACACGATAGGACATAGTTCAGTAGGTGTGTTGACTATATTTAGCAGTCTGGGACCATCAGACCTGATATTAATGGACACGATAGGACATAATTCAGTAGTTTCTGTTGACTATATTTAGCAGTCTGGGACCATCAGACCTGATATTAATGGACACGATAGGACATAGTTCAATAGTTTCTGTTGACTATATTTAGCAGTCTGGGACCATCAGACCTGATATTAATGGACACAATAGGACATAATTCAGTAGGTGTGTTGACTATATTTAGCAATCTGGGACCATCAGACCTGATATTAATGGACACGATAGGACATAGTTCAGTAGTTTCTGTTGACTATATTTAGCAGTCTGGGACCATCAGACGTAACACTTTTCTATACTTATAATTGACAGAATATATCTTTTATGCTTTTCGTGTAAGATTTTGAACTTAATTGTTATTAGAGGCGGTGCATCGAAAGAACGATGAATTTTATCTTCTCTTTAGTGATTGTTGTTTGTTCAACAAGGCTATGTTTTCTTCTTTTTTTGCCTGTTTTATTAGATGTGTTGGAGTACCTATTATGTATGGCTGAACTTGTCAAACTTTTTCTACAAAATTCTAGAAAGAAACAAGACAGCATGTTTTAATTAAAGTATTAATAAAGAGATTTTTCTTTGATAATATCTTTCGTTTTCTCACGTTGAAAGATGAATCACATATTAACTGTTTTCAGTTCAGTATTTTGGGTTTTTTACAAGAGCAAATGATGATACGTTTTAAAAAATTGTGATCTATATCTTGAAATTATCTCTTAATTAAAATTATAATTGAAATGTTGAGATTTTGAATGTTATTTTGGTGCTACTTTCATTAAATTTGTTTTGGATGAAGTGATTAAAATAAAGCTTCAGTTCTGTAATCTTTTCTCTTTTCCAACTCCGTTTTTAAAAACAGTGAATTTTTGAAGTTGCCTATATAAGGAACTATAAGTTACATTTAAAATGTAATTAAACAACCTTACTCTCATTGTATGTCAATAAAATTAACATTATAATGTGTTATAATCCAAAGTTTTATGCTATCTAAGTTTTAATTCTTTTGTTTCAAAAGGAAACTATAAAAAATACACTTAAACTTCAGATATTTTGTCACATGACCAACAAGCTATGAAAATTCTCTACTTTGGCTCTGTATCTTCACTAATACAATAGTAGTTCAGTAGAGGTATGTCTAGACAATAAGATGCTTACATAAACTTTTGACTCACTCATTTCAAAGATCTCTGAATGAATACAGTTGAAACAAGTGATAAATTTTTTTGACTCTTGACAGCCGTCATACCCACATTTAACATATTTGTTTGAGCTTTAAGCCTCCACGTAGACATTACATACACATGTGTATAGTCATTAGAAAGAGCTCATTTTACAGTGTAATCTAACAATGGTTATTTTGAAATTGGCACCAAGTTGTCATCATTGGGTAGATGTAACTACCAGTAGTATTGTTCGCTACTTTGATAGCACTTGCAGTTATTGGGTAGATGTAACTACCAGTAGTATTGTTCGCTACTTTGATAGCACTTGCAGTTATTTCTTAAAGAATGTGATAGTTAGAGAGACAGTTAAATTGCATTTAGGTTTTAATTTTATATCTTAGTTAATTATGTAATATTTATGTTTTAAAATAAATTATTGAAAGGTTTAAACATTTTTAAAATTTATCTCAAACATTGCCCCAGTTGCCAAGGCTTTCACTAGTGTAAGATGATTTTACTGAAGTCTTGCACATTTCTGCCAAAGATACTGTAATGCATTCCAAGGACACTGTTGACTTGTGTCAAGATGAATAATGTATGCGAAAGGAAAATAAAACATTAAAAATTAAGTATATGATAAAAGAAAAATATCTGAAATTATGGTATAACCAAAAGATCTTTTAAGATATTCAATGAAAAAGTAAAAGGTATGTACATATTTCCATTTGTTAACTTTAAACATTTCATTGTACTGTATGTTGATAATAATATCTAGAGTTAGCGATATGGTAAAGAAAATAAAATATAAATGATTACCTTAAAAAACTTTTGATATTCATTTAGGATGGTTTTAGTGGTTATCAAATAAGATGAAGAAAAGTATCTTTATACTTAAAATGAAAATAACCTTTTACTCGAACTATTCAGTCTGAGTACAAGTAACTACACTAAATAAATAACATATTTTTAGAAGAGGACTTAATTAAAATCATATCTTTTTTTACGTACAAGATACTTGTTATCTTTAACAAAATATTACCACTTTTTTTGAGGATACGTTAAGAAAACTCAGAGTTACGGTATGTATTGTTGCACAACTATTCTTTGCATAAGTGTTAATAAGTCAGAAGTAGCAGTATACCTGTCATTAGGCTTAAAGGGTTAATAAGTCAGAGGTAGTAGTATACCTGTCATTAGGCTTAAAGGGTTAATAAGTCAGAGGTAGAAGTATACCTGTCATTAGGCTTAAAGGGTTAATACGTCAGAGGTAGAAGTATACCTGTCATTAGGCTTAAAGGGTTAATAAGTCAGAGGTAGCAGTATACCTGTCATTTGGCTTAAAGGGTTAATAAGTCAGAGGTAGCAGTATAACTGTCATTAGGCTTAAAGGGTTAATAAGTCAGAGGTAGCAGTATACCTGTCATTAGGCTTAAAGGGTTAATAAGTCAGAGGTAGCAGTATACCTGTCATTAGGCTTAAAGGGTTAATAATCAGAGGTAGCAGTATACCTGTCATTAGGCTTAAAGGGTTAATAAGTCGAGTATACCTGTCATTAGGCTTAAAGGGTTAATAAGTCGTAGTATACCTGTCATTAGGCTTAAATTATGGGAATGCTAGAAATGTTACGTGAAACTCTATTTCTCATAATTCCCATTTCTTAATTTTGTTCTATTTTTTTGTCGTTTAGCATTTATCCTTACCAAGAAGAAAGCCACTTAATTCACATACCAATCTCCAACAACACAGGTTCCTTGCCAGATTTAACCAATCTTCATTTCCCTTCACCTTTGGCAACACCACTGGATGTAGAAGACCAGTCAGGCTTAGCTTACAATCAACATAGTCCTTCCCAGTCTGACATAGTTACTTATTCTACGCTACCACCTCAGCAACACCACGTACATGTTATTGGTAAATATTGTTTCTTTTGGATTATTGGTTAATTCTCTCTTCTTTCATGCTACAAAACAAACATATTTGTTATTTTCTTCAGTGAAAACAAACATATTTGCATCACTAATTTTAAAGATTGATTTTGATATTTCATATTTGAGAAATGTTTAGTAAATAAGAGTAATACTTAGTGATGAGCCAAAAAGTCTTTGTTGGAGGTAAGGCATTCAGCATATAAGCAACCAATGGAAATTAACACTAACTACATGAGCCATCCCAGCATCTTTTAATATGGCCATTCCTGAAACTGGTGAGTGTGGGTTATTTTTATAGATCTCAACAAATGAACCTTGGTGCAAGTTCTAAATCAAAAAAAAAAAAGAAAATGGAAATATGACATTGTGAAATTTATATGAATTATACTATGGTAATACCATACTAGAAATTATTCCATTATTCTGTATTTATTTTTCATTGTAGAGATGGCATTTTTAATTTGAGAATTGCTAGGGAAATAATCTTGTAATGTATTGTGTATCTGCTTCAACTTCAACATTGCATCTTTGGGTTTTGCTGTGCTGTTAGTTTTACAAAATATTGAAACTCATGATTTCTTATGCATGATTCTAATTTCCATTTTTGAAGATAACAATACTATTGTGCCCATTTTTAATGTTTTGTTGTCAATTGACGATTTTCCAATTCTGTTGGCATGTCTACTTGATTGGGATATCTTCGAATAAGTTCTCTCATCCGACCTAGACACATGGATTAGCTTAATCGCTACGATTAAACCATCACATTCGTAACCACATCTATAACATTTCAAGCATGTTTTGTTGTTACATAATTTTACTTTACATTTTCAAGAAAACTTCTCCATGTCGGCTATCAAGGTTTTGGATCAAGTCATAGGTCTGGTCCAATGACCTAGACATCTAAAACAGTGCCAAATGTCTTCTTTTTGTCTAATTAAAATGACCCAAACTTATCCAGAATGGCTAATTTTTTTTGTATAAAAATCAAGACACTGAGGATGAGCTTGCAACTGAATAAGAATAAGCAGAAATGAAGTTGATGGGGTTTGTTTCCTGTCAAACTGATGTTTTGTAGAAGAAGAAGTTTCAGTTAAGTTGATGGGGTTTGTTTCGTGTCAAACTGGTGTCTTGTGGAAGAAGAAGCTTCAGTTAAATTAAACAAACCCCATCAACTTAACTGAAACTTATTCTTCTACAAGACACCAGTTTGCGTGTCAAACTGGTGTCTTGTGGAAGAAGAAGCTTCAGTTAAGTTGAAGGGGTTTGTTTGGTGTCAAACTGGTGTCTTGTAGAAGAAGAATCCTCAGTTAAGTTTATGGGGTTTGTTTGGTGTCAAACTGGTGTCTTGAAGAAGAAGAAGTTTCAGTTAAGTTGATGGGGGTTTCAGTTAAGTTGATGGGGTTTGTTTGGTGTCAAACTGATGTCTTGTAGAAGAAGACGCTTCAGTTAAGTTGATGGGGTTTGTTTCGTGTCAAACTGGTGTCTTGTAGAAGAAGTTTCAGTTAAGTTGAAGGGGTTTGTTTCGTGTCAAACTGGTTTCTTGTAGAAGAATAAGTTTCAGTTAAGTTGATGGGGTTTGTTTGGTGTCATACTGGTGTCTTGTAGAAGAAGTTTCAGTTAAGTTGAAGGGGTTTGTTTGGTGTCAAACTGGTGTCTTGTAGAAGAAGTTTCAGTTAAGTTGAAGGGGTTTGTTTGGTGTCAAACTGATGTCTTGTGGAAGAAGAAGTTTCAGTTAAGTTGATGGGGTTTGTTTCGTGTCAAACTGGTGTCTTGTAGAAGAATAAGTTTCAAATAAGTTGATGGGGTTTGTTTGGTGTCATACTGGTGTCTTGTAGAAGAAGAATCTTCAGTTAAGTTGATGGGGTTTGTTTGGTGTCAACTGATGTCTTGTAGAAGAAGAAGTTTCAGTTAAGTTGATGGGGTTTGTTTGGTGTCATACTGGTGTCTTGTAGAAGAAGAAGCTTCAGTTAAGTTGATGGGGTTTGTTTGGTGTCATACTGGTGTCTTGTAGAAGAAGAAGCTTCAGTTAAGTTGATGGGGTTTGTTTGGTGTCATACTGGTGTCTTGTAGAAGAATAAGTTTCAGTTAAGTTATGGGGTTTGTTTGGTGTGAATATACAATTTACAGTACATCATCATTATAATTGGGGACAAGAAAGTCCTACAAGATACTGGGTGCAGCAGTGATAACCAATATAGTATCTGATGGGCAAAGTACATCTGTGTGTGTTGATTGATGGGACAGTGAGAAAGTTTCCCATAGCAAGAATATAGGTGGACACTCCATACTACGTGGGCGACCTTGAGGCCATGTATATGAAGGCACCCATCACAATTTGGTGATTGTCAATATACCAGGCAGTTGAAGTTTGGAGGAACTAGAACAAAAGAAGACTGAGGCATTTGCACTCCCCACTAGAGCTCAAGAAAAGAAAAGCAAGCAAGACATCAAGCCCCTGCAAGTCTCAAAAGATGACATCCCAAATGTAGGTTTATGGGAACTGATGGAAGACCCTTCACTGCAGAAACTTTGGGACAATGCCTGGGAGAAAGTCAAGACAAAGGGAAAGGGGACCTACAGAATAGAGGATTGGAAGGGAGTACTGTAACTGATCTTTCAAGATGGTTGTACTGGAGATGTTAAACATGGACTGTGTTGATGTTTGTTTATAGTTGAAATTTCCTAGATACATTAATGCACGATTAACAGCACAGTTTTGAAGCAACTGTGTACGTCATGGCTCAATATTTTCTGGTCTATTTAGTTAAAAGTTCGTCTACTGGTATATAATAATACACTCCAGTAAAAAACAACATAAAATACATCAATTAATGCTGAGTATCACAGAGTTTTATCTTATTTAATGGAGCTGAGGATGAATTAGTGAGATATGAATATGTTGAACTAACTTTGTAAAGATTATAGCTGGGCAGTTAGTGTGCATTTTAAAAGCTTGTCACAGATGGTCTCTTCCACAGAGTAAATGATAATTATGTACACTAGCCAAGAAATTATTTGGGTATTTGTAAGAACTTTGAAATCAAGAAGTGAACACTTTGTGGTCATAACATATAAAAGCATGTATAAGAGCAGCCTGTTAACACCTGCATGTTAAGCTGTTTCAGTGAACTAGGAAACTCCCTACTTAGCAATGGCATGAAGTGAAAGATTGCTGCCAAACATAATGAGCTAAGTGTTACTACTACACTTATTAGTATGTAACTAAAACAACCAGAGTTGAACAGAAGATATAGTATTAAATTTTAACAGCCACAGAAATCCAAAACAAAACTTTCAAACTAATGTTATCACCTATAGAAAAAACAACAAAAAAGCTAGCAAGTCCATGCATGTCTAGGACTTGTTACTGATGTTAATGAACAATACCAGGACTCGTTACTGATGTTAATGAACAGTACCAGGACTCGTTACTGATGTTAATGAACAATACCAGGACTCGTTACTGATGTTAATGAACAATACCAGGACTCGTTACTGATGTTAATGAACAATACCAGGACTCGTTACTGATGTTAATGAACAATACCAGGACTAGTTACTGATGTTGATGAACAATACCAGGACTAGTTACTGATATTAATGAACAATACCAGGACTCGTTACTGATGTTAATGAACAATACCAGGACTTGTTACTGATGTTAATGAACAATACCAGGACTCGTTATTGATGTTAATGAACAATACCAGGTCTAGTTACTGATGTTAATGAACAATACCAGGACTTGTTACTGATGTTAATGAACAATACAAGGACTTGTTACTGATGTTAATGAACAATACCAGGACTCGTTACTGATGTTAATGAACAATACCAGGACTCGTTACTGATGTTAATGAACAGTACCAGGACTCGTTACTGATGTTAATGAACAGTACCAGGACTCGTTACTGATGTTAATGAACAATACCAGGACTCGTTACTGATGTTAATGAACAGTACCAGGACTCGTTACTAATGTTAATGAACAGTACCAAGACTCGTTACTAATGTTAATGAACAATACCAGGACTCGTTACTGATGTTAATGAACAGTACCAGGACTCGTTACTAATGTTAATGAACAGTACCAGGACTCGTTACTAATGTTAATGAACAGTACCAAGACTTGTTACTAATGTTAATGAACAATACCAGGACTCGTTACTGATGTTAATGAACAATACCAGGACTCGTTACTGATGTTAATGAACAATACAACTTCAATAAATAAAGGAATTAGGAAAAAGAAGAAAACCTGATTCTGAAGAAACAATATTACAAAATTAACCACTGCAAGATTAATAACAATATACAGTAATGACCAGCAATAATTTGTTCTACCTGTTGTGAAATTCCCTTGTGGATACAGTGGTTAAGAAACGGTTCACCTTCAAAAGTCTTAAAATTACTCATAATAATGCAGCTTTCAACTATTCTCCATTTTAGGTCATTTTTGATTTTACATATTTTGTATGATTTGTAAATCATAGGATGGTCTTTTTTATGGATAAATATTGTATTATTTGTATTTCTGAATTAATGCTTATTGTATTAAATAAAAGTGTGGATAAGAAATGATATTAGATGTGAAAAATGTTTTGTATTCTTCATTAAGGTCCAAGTGTCAGTGGGAGTACACTTATCCAGACAACAGCAGTGGTGGGTGGTGGGGGAAGCCGCCACAATAGCCCAGGACCATCCCCTTCACCATCATCCCAACGTAGACACCATCTTAACTCCAATAACCTGGTAATTGGGAGCAGTAATATGCGACATCATGGTCTTCATTCTTCAAAACAGCAACAGAAAGTATGTTACACCCCCCCAAGATATGAACCTCCCCGAATTACAGTGGAGGTAGGGTTGAGACCAGAGATGGCTTATAAAGTCTGTGATTCTTTTCTGCTGAAATCTGTCATGCTACTTGCCTTCCTTGGTAGTAGCCTGATTCTGACATTCTTCTTCTGCATCTTCAACTCTACTGTTTGATACCCTGAAAGAACGACCGCACCTTTCTGTGGAACTTGATATATTCTTTCCAAACACACACACCTCTACAAAGAATTAATTTCCTATTTTTCTGCTTGTCATATCTTAAACTCCAAGTAATCAAAAACTAACATTTACTTACAGTCCATAGTTTTATTTCTCTGACTGTTGTTGTTGAAAAACAGAAACATTTTTATTGTTATAACCTAAAGTTTCATTCACACGGAGATATCATTTATTCACTATACAACTTGTTTCCAGAAACTGCAGATACTTGTTAAAGATATATGTGGGTGTATTTGGGCAAAAAAACAACAAAAAAAACACTCAATTAAATGTCCAGAAAATACGTTTATGCATTAAATTTATCCTTTAAATTTTGTTCTTGACAACACTTACATGAAAATATTGTTCTTATAACAGACCGTGTATTATTTACATAAAAATTCCTCTTTAAATGTATCTGTGCAACATGTTTTAGTGTTAACTAGTTTCAAGAAAATTTTTTCAGTAACATGCACTGTGACTGTTTAGACAACCAACTCAAGGATTGGGTTGGTAGAAGTTGTAACTAATCAAAATAATTGACAGTTAGTTTGGGGGTAGTTTACTCTCTCTTTTTGTTGGTCAATGATATGCCAAAGAGAAATCCGTATGTTTATTTAATGTCTGATGTATTGAAACTAATAGGACTACAAAATGTATTAATTTTAATAACAATATTAGTAAAGATTTATAAATAAATATTACAAAAGAATTAGTATTCAGTACATTATTTGGCATAGCAAGTAAAGCGATAAATCTATTTGATAAATTGGGCAATCTTTTCTTCATTGTTATTGATATATAAATGATAGAGCTACATTACCAGGCTATTGAACTGTACAATAAAAACCTTCGTTATATTTTTATAAAAACAAGTAAATTTCAGACGTTTTTGTGTTTTTTTCCACATCCTCATAATTTTTCCATTGCAACTTGAAATTGGAGGTATGTGAAAATAGCATTTCAGATTTATCTTTCGTGTCACTGCCCAATAAGATTTGTGTTCGTACCTGTAATTGTGAGTTGGGCTGGATGATGAGAGCCAAAAGATCCTGTGAAATGCTATTTATATATAATACTTTAAAAGTTGCTCTTCAAATACATGATGAATGTGGAATAAAAAACTACAGTTAACTTGTTTTTAGAATACTTGTTAGGACTATTGGTTTCCAACATTTTGCTGGTTTTGGGAGTTTAAACATGTAACAAATGTTTAATTACTAAGTCATGATCAATCTGTTCTTTTGAATGTTATGAAAATAGAAACATTATATATGTTTCCAATGTAAGTTTATTTGTGAAGCAGCCCTCCTAGTGGCACAGCAGTATGACTGCGGATTTATAACGCTAGTAACCTGGTTTTGATACCCGTGACGTAGCATTGTGCTTAAATTAAAAAAATAAGTAAATCTGAAGGATCGTATCATAAAAAGCCAATGTTTTTAATACACATAAAATTATGATTTGGTAGTAACATTTTAACTAAACGATGTTCTTTTTACATCAGCTTGTCTAACAAGTTCAGTGATGTGTAGTGAACTTGTGAAGTTTACACTCAGAAACTGATATCTACAAAAACACCTGATATTTCAACTGTAATTTGATTCTTCATAATTTTCATGTTAAATTATATGAGAGAGCTTACAAAATATTCACAAGTTAAACAAATACGCACATATATTCAACAATAAAAATAATATTCACAAGTTAAACAAATACACACATATATTCAACAATAAAAATAATATTCACAAGTTAAACAAATACACACATATATTCAACAATAAAAATAATATTCACAAGTTAAACAAATACACACATATATTCAACAATAGAAATTTCACACAACAACAGGTTCTTTTTTCAAATTTCCTCATAGTTGTGGTATAAACCATAAATTGGAGTAGAACGCTTAAAATTTCACATGATATATAAATATTTCTTTTCGTACACAATTAACTCTAACGGGTATTTGAGAAACTTTATAAAGTTCCAAGCAGAAAGATGCTGTCTCCGTTGTTCTGGTTTCACTAACTCAAATTATCTTTCTTCATTGAAAGCAAAGTCATCCCTTATCTCTTCGTACTTCCACTGCTGGCTTGCTTATGTTTTGTCCTCTTTTTCTATGCTTGTGACTTTGTCTAAAACTTTTTTTTTTCATCATGAGTTAATATCAATATTCTTTTCTTTCAAGTTTTTTTATGACTGTTAGTATACTAAAATAACTATCAATTTTGGAATTTTGCTTCTTTTAAATACTTCAATGTAGTTGAATTTTTTAATGTAAAAAATTTAGTTAAAATATTTTATTTTGTACTTGTAGTGTGTGTTGAAGTTTTCAATTTCTTGTCAGTGGTACTGTGAATGCATTTATAATAAGTAAAAAAAATCACTGGTATTTTGTAATACTTTATTTTAAATATCTTTATTAAGTTTATATAGTATTTTAAATCCTTAGACTTTACATTTCAGTTTTCAGCATTGTTTACTGAGGGTTGAGTAGGTTATATGAAGATGATTTTGGAGCCTTACTGAGGGTTGAGTAGGTTATATTAAGATGGTTTTGGAGCCTTACTGGAGGTTGAGAAGGTTATATTAAGATGATTTTGGAGCCTTAATGAGGGTTGAGTAGGTTATATTAAGATGATTTTGGAGCCTTACTGAGGGTTGAGTAGGTTATATTAAGATGATTTTGGAGCCTTACTGAGGGTTGAGTGGGTTATATTAAGATGATTTTGGAGCCTTACTGAGGGTTGAGTAGGTTATATTAAGATGGTTTTGGAGCCTTACTGAGGGTTGAGTAGGTTATATTAAGATGATTTTGGAGCCTTACTGAGGTTATGTTACATACTGTTGCCTGGTACAATTCAGTTGTCACTGAACTTTATGTTCATGTTTTGTTACCTGCTGTTGTTCTTTGCTTACCATGGCTGGATTATGATTTGTTGCAGGTCTCTTTCTGGATGGTAATGATGCCCCAAGATGATCTACGTTTTTTTTGTTTTTCAGTGTCATTAAGTACAAGGATATCTTTGTCTTGGAAGTTCTAAATATCCAATCTGAACACATCTTTATGATTTGAGTGTGTGAATATTTTTGTGTCAGAAAGGGCTGTTCTTTACCCTTTCTGAAAGTGATGATTTTTAATGCCATCACATTACCCTTGAGAAGCCAAACAATGTCAAAATAGCTTTGATATATGCTGTTCCACTGCAACTTTATGTAACTTGGTGATTTGCAAATGAAAGATAATTTTAATATAATATACTCAACCCCCAAGTCTTGATTTTGTCATCTTGTGTAGTTGTACTGTGAGTGAATTTTCTGTTGGAAAGGTATAGTACAAGTGTTACACTGTAGTCAAGCATTGTTGAACTGAAAAGACATTTTTGTCAATTTTTATTTTATCACACATTACATTTCATTACTCAGTATTAATGCTATAGAATAAGGTTTAGTGCATGAATTAGATTGTTGGTTTAGAGATAGTGATGTTTTTATTGTTTGATTTAGGGTCTGGCCATTGATACTAATGCTTTGTCATTAAATAACTACCCACCTCACCAGCCATCATTTGGTGTTTATCCCCAACAACGGTCTAATCAGAGCTCACAACCACATAATAACTACGTAGAAAGCCAAGCACTTCCACAGGTAAGATTTAGGAGTTTATGTAGAGCTCACAACCACGTAATAACTACGTAGAAAGCCAAGCACTTCCACAGGTAAGATTTAGGAGTTTATGTAGAGCTCACAACCACGTAATAACTACGTAGAAAGCCAAGCACTTCCACAGGTAAGATTCCTCCTAAGGTTGTGAAGAATATAAGATGAAGACAATTATTTTTATAATTTAAAATGAAAATCACCTTGCACTTGAAATATTTTAACTACTATAGATAAATAGCATTTTTATCAGAAAGACATGATTAGAATAATGCTATTCTTTGTATACAAAATACTTACAAACTTTAACAAAAATTAAGCAGAAAAAGACAAAGGAAAAGTTTGAAAAATCAAGAAATTGATAGTATATTCTCAAGGGGTGGTGGCTTCTTAGTAGAAATATAGCTATTCTTTAGGATGGGTAAAAAAATTGTATAAAAGTCGACATGTCTGTTGTTTACAGGTGCAACTCCTCGGAGGTATTATGAAAATTTTGTTATAAAGTTCTTTGTATCAAACACCAAAAATTTAATATTTCAAATAAAGTTGGTGTTTAATGGTAACAATATTTATATTAGCTTTTCATTGAAGATGTGGGTAACTAATGTTATATTAGCTTTTCATTGAAGATGTGGGTAACTAATGTTATATTAGCTTTTCATTGAAGATGTGGGTAACTAATGTATTTATATTAGCTTTTCATTGAAGATTTGGGTAACTAATGTTGTATTTATATTAGCTTTTCATTGAAGATGTGGGTAACTAATGTTATATTAGCTTTTCATTGAAGATGTGGGTAACTAATGTTATATTAGCTTTTCATTGAAGATGTGGGTAACTAATGTTGTATTTATATTAGCTTTTCATTGAAGATGTGGGTAACTAATGTTGTATTTATATTAGCATGTCATTGAAGATGTGGGTAACTAATGTATTTATATTAGCTTGTCATTGAAGATGTGGGTAACTAATGTTGTATTTATATTAGCTTTTCATTGAAGATGTGGGTAACTAATGTTGTATTTATATTAGC